CCCCCCCCCCCCCCCCCCGTTCCGCCTTTCTCCACCTCTCTCGGTCTCGATCTCTTGTTATCGGGCCTATTGAGGTTGTATGTTTGCGAGTATCATGATCTGTTCATTGGACGTGACTTGTGTGCCTTGCTTCTCGCAACCTTGTGTACGACCATGTGACACCATGCCCCAGGTTATGTACTTGTTGGGCCTCAACCCATCCCCTCCCCTTGTGCGCCCTTGAACCAATCAGGATGCCTTCAACAAGCTCCGCGAGCAGATCATCATCTGCCACAAGCAACCTCGTGAACACCGAGGCGGTCTGAACATGATCAACAACACTAACCTTGAGTTCTTCAATTCGAAGCAAAAGGCCGAGCTTTTCCGGCTAAAGGGGGTGTTCTTGACGAGCCTGGGGGCCAAGCAGGAGGCAAACAACGCTTACAGCCACGCTGTTCAGGTGTGCTGTAGTTGTCTGTTGTTGTTGTAGGTGGTGGTGGTATAGATGTTGTTCAGCAACATACGCTGTTGAGGTGTGTTATCGTTGTCGTTGTCATCGTCGTTACCGTATCGCTGCTGCTGCTGCTGCTGCTGTAGTTGCAGGTATTTTTCCTGCGTCCCTGATCCTCGTCGTATTCGGTATTATCGTGATTGGTGTGATGGAGAGAGAAAGCTTCCGCCACCTACTCTGTGATACAATCACATGTTTATTTTCTCGTGTTTTTTTTCCCACCAGATCTCCGGAGACTTCGCGAAGGGCTGGTACTCCTGGGCCCGGTACTGCGATGGAATCTTCGCCGAGCAGACCAAGGTCCACTGCGCGGTGCAGGCGATGGCATGCTACCTGCAGGTGCGTGATGCATAAGTTTGCGGACTCTGGATATGTACGTTCCTCTGACAGTTGGACGTGTGCTTGGGGTCATGTTTTGTCACACACGCACGAATGTGCATGGGGGCATGTGTGCAAGAGGACGAGGGTGATGGGTTGGCCTGTCCTGCTGTCGACCAAGCAGACTGTTACTTTGTGATTCGACACGACTATTGTCGTCTAGAGTCAATGGCTTCGTACCCCCGCAGAAAATGGCATGCCAGGCACGCGTATGACGTAGCGATTCGTTGCCAGGTACTATATCTCGTTTATTCTGGTGTTGTTTGGGTCCACAGGAGCTGCCTTCCCGTTGTGTTTTTTTACATGAACGGCCGCGTGTTAGAATCGTTCTCGAAGAAGGCCATGGTCTAGTGTCCAGCCATCCCTTCGCAGCTTAGAGTAGAGCTCCCACAGACGATTACGATGTTGTACTTTGTTAACGTTGTAACGAAGGAGCTGTTTCCCCTTTTCCCCCGCCGTACTTCCGTCGTAGGGGTTCTATAAAACAATGTTTTTTTTTCGTCTTTGAACAATGAACCCCCCAAAACTATTCCTGCTTTGCCTTGCGTGATGGTGCCCGAACTCAGGCCATCAACCACAACTCAGCCGGCGCTAGGCTGATGATGTCTCGCGTGCTGTGGCTGCTCAGCCTTGACGACGAAAAGTCCACCCTGGGGAGGACCCTAGAGACCTACGGCCGCACCCTGCCAGAGTGGGTCTGGATCCCCTGGATCCCCCAGCTGCTCACCTCTCTCACTAGAAGGTGAGACGAGAATTTCCTTGGGGTTAGGATTAGGGTTGTTAGGATTACGACGACATGAGACGAGATTTTTCCTTCGGGTTAGGATGAGGCTCGTTAGGATTACGACGACAAAAGTGACGAGGGACGCTTCTTTTCTCCCTTCCTCGCATTGCTTGACTTTGTTGCAGGAAGATAAATCATGACTCGAATGTGAGAGGGTAGAAACGGCTCTGAACTCTTGTCCAGCACTCCAGCTTTTGTGGTACTAAACTCGTCATTCTCGCCGCAAAAGAAGCAACAGCTCAAACGCACAAGCCAGGCGAAGTGACCTGCCTCACTACCCCGGACCGCGTCTTGAAATGCCCCAGCCGTTGCGTTTACATCCTCGCTCACGAAGGCTGCAGACCCAGCCCTCACACTATTTCGACGCATACAGGGGAGACCCGGGAAAAGTGTAGCAGAGATTCTCGACCCCTTCGTCCTCTCGAGGACGCGTGGTCAATGGTCTAACAGTCAAGGCATGCAAAGCATGAGTACCCCCCCCTCCCCGGTTTCCCCTATTTCTTCCGCGACAGGGAGGCCCACTACGTGACGGCCCTGGTGAAGGCCTTGTCGCAGATGTATCCTCAATCGGTGTACTACACCATGAGGGCGTTCTTGCTGGAAAGAAGAGAGCAGCCGGACAGAGGGGGGAGCTCGGCGAATGCCGCGGACAGCAACAAGCTGCCCAAGGCCATGTCCGTGCGCTTGCCGTCTGGGGGCACGGTGAGTAGAATCGTAGGGGGAGGGGGGGGGGGTTGCCGTAAGCGAGCAGGGGGAGAATCAATGAGGGGGGGGGAGGGTTTCAGCGTGGTTGTTTTGTTTTGGGAAGGTTCGGTTATTATGAGTCCATTCACTGACCGGGATGGGCATGGCGAGAGTGCGTGTTGCAAACTTCTTGACAGGGCCCGTGATGGGGAGCGGTGGAGGGGGCACGCTGATGCATCGTGGGGATAGGGGGGGTGAAGTGTTGTACTCTTCAGCGGGGTTGAGTGTATCTAATTGTTGGGACATTTTGTCCCTTTCGAAACATGTCTAACATCTTGTGTTACCCCCTACCCCGCCCTGGATGTGTTTCTTTTTTTTTGTCTTTCGTCTGTGTGTCTCTCTCTTCTCTCTGCGCCTGTCATGCTTGTCTTGTCTTGTCTTGTCTTGTCTTGTCTTGTCTTGTCTTGTCTGCCTGCCTACCCCTCTGCTCTCCTCGCCCTTGTTCCCAAATTGCAGATGGTGTGTCCCGCGGGCACTCTGAAGAAGCATGCGCGGCAGCTGCAGGCCGGGGAGATTCAGGCTCTCCCCCCCCCCGGGGTGGACGGGGCCGGACCCGCGATGGCTCCGACGGGTGCTGGGGCTGCGGCGATCGCGGACGAGCTCATGTCGCAGCTTAGAAGAGCGCACTGCGCGCTGGTGAGCCATCCCTGCGTCTCTGTTGTTGTTTCTGAGCTTTTTTTGCAGGAAGTACATGACTGATTCCGCCCAGTACACAGCCGGTTAGCGCGGCCCGTGAAAGTAATGAAGACTCTCGCCTCGCCACGGCAAGAACCTGTAGGCCGTAGCAATTGACCTCATGCTTAGCTAGGTGGTTTTCTACGTGTAATTTGTGGTCTTGGTTCGGAGCTGATGTGAAAAAAGTGAGGGTTAGAGTGGTCGGCGTCGCTGCCGCTGGCCAGGTTGTCAGGGGGGGGG